AATAGCTTTTATATCCTTTTACTCATGTACGAATTAATTGCTTTACCATATTGTATTACTTTTGTCACTACCACTACTACTACTACTACTACTACTACCTCTAGTGAACATCGAAATGGTACCTCACTAGTATTCACCTCACTCTGAGCCTTTATATACCCTCTGTGTCCATGTATTGTTTGTAATGGCTTGATAAAGCTCCTGGAGAGCGAAACGTTGCCACAATAAATGTCACATTAGTTGCACTTGTGTCCTTTTACTTTACACCTGGGTTGTTGTTGTTTACCATCACCTGGGTTGTTATTGCCTACCAACACCTGGGTTGTTGTTGTTTACCAACACCTGGGTTGTTATTGTCTACCAACACCTGGGTTGTTATTGTCTACCAACACCTGGGTTGTTGTTGTCTACCAACACCTGGGTTGTTGTTGTTTACCAACACCTGGGTTGTTGTTGTTTACCAACACCTGGGTTGTTATTGTCTACCAACACCTGGGTTGCTATTGTTTACCAACACCTGGGTTGTTATTGTCTACCAACACCTGGGTTGTTGTTGTTTACCGACACCTGGGTTGTTATTGTCTACCAACACCTGGGTTGTTGTTGTTTACCAACACCTGGGTTGTTATTGTCTACCAACACCTGGGTTGTTGCTGTCTACCAACACCTGAGTTGTTGCTGTCTACCAACACCTGGGTGGTTGCTGTCTACCAACACCTGGGTCGTTGCTGTCTACCAACACCTGGGTGGTGGTCGTTGTCTACCAGCCCCAGGGTGGCATTGTGGGTTAGTTGTGAACTGTGCCAGCCACGACATAGTACTTTAGGTAAGGGAATTGGGCAGCACTCTGGGCGAGGTAATTAGGCTTCACTCTTGGTGAGGGAATTAGGTGGTAACTATAGGTGAGAGAATCAGGTGGCGCTGTAGGTGAGAGGATTTGGTGACACTCAAGAGCTAAAGAGGTGAACAAACTTACCTTGTTTGCCTTTTTCTTCGTTAACTGACCGTAGATTAATATAGATAAGGTGACAGTAGCCTGGCCGGGTGGACACAGTACCGCTTGGGGAAGGGAAGGTAATCAAGTTTGATCCTTGGATTCTTTTTACCAGCATCAAGGGAACGTTGCTCTTGCCTTCGGTTATTCCGCCTCACGGCAGAAATCCTTGATGTTAATCTTCCAGAATCCTTGGCAAACCTGTCAAATGTTAGATGTAATCTATTTTATTACAATACAGCAGCCAATATATATCGTAGAGGCTTAGATTGCTACATACAACACAACAGTCATTATCCCGTGACATAGAAACCTCAATAGAGACTGTCACGTCCACTATGTTACGATACACATCTCAAGACCACATATCGACGAGGAAGTTATGGTGGGTATCTCCTTAAGTAAACGTGGCACTCAGAGCACAGATGTAGGTTGCTATCCAGGCTACCCTCTACAGGAAGTTGTACACAATGTCTCCCTGTCCCATGTAAACATTCAGCAAAATGGACAATTTAAATCACCAACATGTCAATTACTTTTGGTATCAACGATGTGTTCATTAAATATATCTAAGATAACGAACCCTGTTTTGTCGAGGTTTATCTATATGTAGTGTAGGAAGAGAGCTGGAGGTCTGTACAAGATTTCCACTGCATCGTTTATCACTATTAAGCAGTCTATTACACTAAGCAATGCGAATATAAATAGGTTATAAATTATTTAGCCGGGAAATAAAAGCCGTAAATAACAAAAAGGAATAATACCATGACTGGAACAAAACACAAATAGATGCCCAGAGACTCCACGGGGCATTTGATGAACTGGAACGAGGCACAACTCGTTCTCACCGAACCAGACCTCAGACGCCGACGGTGCCTAGAAGCCTCACTAATCACCGTCACCGACACTATAGAACGCAACACTGGAAACTACAAAATTTCAAAAACATTGGCATACATGATACTTAAGCAGCACCAACCCAACAACACAGGAGTCACATGATTTCATCGTCTACCCGTCCTCCTCATAGGTAGAGGTTGTTTTGATAAGGACCTGCCTCGCATGGGCCAGCAGGCCTTCTACAGTGTTCCTCCATTCTTATGTTCTTATGACATTCCTCAGGTCACGTGCGTCACATCTCACTCTCCGCCTATATATATAATGTCTTTCTACCTCTGTATGTTAGAAGTGATCAAGGTCCCAGGACCGAAACGTTTTCTAATAAATATGTTATAGTGTTTGCTTACGTGTCTTTCTAAACCAAAACACAAATAACCCGCAAATAAGACAGAGGAACTTACGACGACATTTCGCTCCGACTCGGACCATTTACAAAGTCACAAATGGTAAATGGTCCAGGTCGGACCGAAACGTCGTCGTAAGGTTCTTACTCCTATGTGCGGGTTATTTGTGAATGAAAGCCGTAATTCGTGGCTAGAGCAAGTTGCAACTCACTCACTGGAAATTGAAACTGGTTTGCATTTCCAGTCAGGGAGTTAGTTTTGAACTGGTTGAGAACAAACACATGGCATAGTTGCTAAGAAATATTTTATGTTATTATTATATATAGAGTTTTTTAAAATTAGGGCTTTTCCAAACTCGTAATCATCTCGTCAACCCAAAAAACTCTATTATAGCTGACTCTAGATAAGTGATTCACAAAATATTAAGTCTCTCCTGTCATTACCAGGTTTTAGCTATCTTAATAATGGTTGCTGTCACTACCTGTCTTCTTATATATTAATAATGGTTGCTGTCACTACCTGTCTTCTCATATATTAATAATGGGTTGCTGTCACTACCTGTCTTCTCATATATTAATAATGGTTGCTGTCACTACCTGTCTTCTTATATATTAATAATGGTTGCTGTCACTATCTGTCTTCTTATATATTAATAATGGTTGCTGTCACTACCTGTCTTTTTATATTAATAATGGGTTGCTGTCACTATCTGTCTTCTTATATATTAATAATGGTTGCTGTCACTATCTGTCTTCTTATATATTAATAATGGTTGCTGTCACTACCTGTCTTCTTATATATTAATAATGGTTGCTGTCACTATCTGTCTTCTTATATATTAATAATGGGTTGCTGTCACTACCTGTCTTCTTATATATTATATAATGGTTGCTGTCACTATCTGTCTTCTTATAATTAATAATGGTTGCTGTCACTATCTGTCTTCTTATATATTAATAATGGTTGCTGTCACTATCTGTCTTCTTATATATTAATAATGGTTGCTGTCACTATCTGTCTTCTTATATATTAATAATGGTAGCTGTCACTATCTGTCTTCTCATATCGCCAATAACTGACTGCTATATTACATATGTTATATTCACAATAAAATCATAATTTTTAAAGTAATTTGCTGCCAAAACCATATTCATAATTCCCTTAAAGTCAAAATCTGTAAGTGATGGCATACTTGAAGAAAGGGAAAATCTACGCTATTTAAGCCATGAAATACGTTGCTCGGTTCTTAGACATTTGTGTCACTCAAATTATTCCACCTTGATAAAGTAATTCAACGTTAAGGGGCACAGATCCAGCCACCAAGATAAGGTGAGTCGGTGTCGGGGGCCATATAAGCTAGAACAGAGATTTGCAAGCTGAAAAAATCCTATCTACATCAATAAGGGAACCAAGCTACTGGGCTTGTGGAGATGAGTGTACGTCGCTTATGCTTGTTGCTCTTGTTCACCTTGCAGTAATTAGGTACTTGTTGTGTACATAGGATCCTGCTTTGAAATGACCTGAGGTAAAATAACATCCTGTAAATTAAACAGTAGTCAAAAAATGTACATTTTTTGTTATGTTACATAAGACCTTGAATTTAGCCTGTGGTATACAAAATTTAGAATAACCTGAAGATTAATTTTAACCGCCCTGTCCTCCCTCCCTCAATGAAAACATTAACGAAATTTTATCAAATTTGAAATGTCTTTTTTTTCTTACACCGAAACGAACTTATCACCCAAACATATTGTTGCTGTATTTACGTAGGACAGAACAACTTATCTGAACTACTTTATAACTTCTAGAAACTTAGTTAAGTGCTTCTCCCGGGGAGGATGTGTTGATGCAAGTAAGTAAGTAAGTAAGTAAGTAAATTTATTCAGGTATACACAATACAGTTACATAGAATTATCATACATAGCAGCATATGTGTAGAGAACCTAGGATAACCCAAAAAAGTCAGACAGAGTGACTTATTTCCATTGCCACATAAGTTGATTTTGGGCCGATAACCAATTTATCTGTAAAATTTCCTCCAAAATGACAGTTATAATAGTTGGAGCACACATGGCTGTCAGCCTCCTGCAGGTAAACTCTCACAGGGAAAATCTCGTAGGTAAAATCTTGTCGGTAAAATCTTGTGTCATTTTTGAGTAAGTTTCACCGGTGGCCTGGTGGCTAAAGTTCCCGCTTCACATACGGAGGGCCCGGGTTCGATTCCCAGCGGGTGGAAACATTTCGTTTCCTTACACCTGTTGTCCTGTTCACCTAGCAGCAAATAGGTACCTGGGCGTTAGTCAATTGGTGTGGGTCGCATCCTGGGGGACAAGATTAAGGACCCCAATGGAAATAAGTTAGATAGTCCTCGATGACGCACTGACTTTCTTGGGTTATCCTGGGTGGTAACCCTCCGGGGTTAAAAATCCGAACGAAATCTTATCTTATCTTATCTCAGTCATTTGATGTTGGAGGAGGTTGGGGCCACGCTACCCCAACTCTGAGTTTTTTCCATACCATTTATTTTCCTTGAATTGTGGGAGTTTACTCTCCAGTAACTGAATTGTTACTTTTTGTTGTATTCATTTACTGTCACTGAGACGGGAAACTCTGGGAAAGGTGTTACGTCAATAGCAACATACTTTAACTGTCACATGCATCCTATCAATATTTTTTTTTTTCAGTTATAGATACGATAAGATACCAATCCGCTGGCCATCACGTAGTGCCAAGTGTCACCAGCACCCCTTCAGTCTGAATGTAACCCTTGTGCTCACTGTGAGGCTCATTCTTGGGTCCTGAGGCTCACTCTCAGGTTTTCACTGTGTGGCTCATTCTTAGGTGCTTAAGGTGCTTACTGTAAGCCTCATATGATCTCAGGTGCTTACTGTGAGCCTGGCTCTTATGGCAGGAAGTCCATCCTCGCCATAATGGGACTCATAACTATAGCCTGTGTTCACCTTCGTGATAGTTTGACCCCTAATTAAAACCAATGTACAATATCACGGTTGCATAACCCTTAAACAGTAACAGTGTTCACATCCTTCACGATAATGTAACCTATGAAATAGCACTTGTGTTCTTATATACAGTGTACTGCCACTCTCAGCGAGTATACATGGACAGAAATACAGCACCATGACTTTATACAAAAGGTCCTCATACTCTCGAGAAAACAGTTATCAGAGTAAATATTGAATACCTACAGATGAGTGAAAGAGTTACAGTAACTGTGTGATGGCTCGTGTAGCTGTGTGTACGTGTCATTAACTATGTGTCTTTACATATTGATCAGCTCTTCATCCTGATACCCCGATCGTGTACTAATACGTTTAATGAACTACGCCGATAAACATTCCCAACTAATCACTCAGCAAAGAGAATGAGTTACTTGAGATTAGGATATCTTACTTTACCATTAATTATCCTAAACTGTATAATTTCACCATCAACAATTACATAAATGAGGATTATGTAAAGGGCTTCAGAGTAAACATATGGTATTCAGCTACCTGGCAGGTCTTTACTGGTAGTGTCCCGTCTTACGTGTTTATAGTTACGGAAACAGAACTACGCTGTATGCTCATGTTGTTACAGCAAAAGTATACTGTGAAAAAAAATATGTTTCTTTTTACATCTTCCCTCTTCTAGACATTTACAATAATGGCGTCTTGCTTCCCTTGTTGGTGTTGCTAAAAATATTTTCTTTATCTATTTCTCTATTGTTTTTCCATTCTCATATGTGCTTATCACGTCTCCTCTTTTCTTCCTATAAACTAACGAAAGAATTTAAGCTTTTCTGACTTATTAGTAACATACGCCTTAGCTGCGTGAATGTAAGTTTACGTAGTTGTGGTTGCGTGTGTTATACCACAGCCTCTTAATTCTCAAAAAATAGCGTAGACGAGTTCTATTACGAGTTTAAAACATGTTACCTCACTTCAAGGCCTGGTAAATTAACCTTCACAGAGCTTGGTCGGGAAAATTAGTTAAGTAGATGCAGATAAAGAGGTCGTTCTTGAAGGTCGTGCTGCTTCCAAAATGGTCGTTCTTGAAGGTCGTGCTGCTTCACAAAATGGTCGTTCTTGAAGGTCGTGCTGCTTCACAAAATGGTCGTTCTTAAAGGTCGTGCTGCTTCACAAGCACCATGTCACCTTGGCTCAAATCGGAGTACTTAAATTAAAAACCGTACTATCTGAGTGTGGTCGTGTTAGATAGGAGCAAATGGAGACAAGGTTTTAGGACTTGACGTGCTGTTGGAGTGTCAGCAAGGTAACATTAATGAAAGGATTCAGGGAAACCTGCAGGCTGGACGTGAGTCCTGGAGATGGTATGTACAGTGTCTACACTCTTGAAGGAGGGGTGTTAATGTTGCAGTTTTATAACTGTAATGTAAGCATGACTGGCAAGACAGTGATGGAGTGAATGATGAAAGTTTTTTTTTCAGGCCACCCTGCCTTGGTGGGAAACGGCTTATGTGTTAATAACAAAAATAATATCTTTCAATATAAATTAACAGTTAACTTACTTTAACCCCTATTTTAGGGATTAGTGATATTTGGATGTTGCTGTACAGAATTTTGGCCTTACTGACCCTCTTGCAGCCGACAGGCTTAAAATCTAACTAACAGTGTAACTACAGCAAGAGGTGTATTCAACATACCATAAAGGTTTATATATATCAATATACTCATTATTTTAGCAACTACGTGTACTGGGCCTTGAAGACCTAACTACGTGTATTGGGCCTTGAAGTACCTAACTACGTGTACTGGGCCTTGAAGTATCTAAGTGTACCGGCCTTCAAGTACCTTACTACGTGTACTGGGCCTTGAAGTACCTAACTGCGTATACTGGGCCTGGAAGTACCTAACTACGTATACTGGGCCTTGAAGTACCTAACTACGTATACTGGGCCTTGAAGTACTTAACTACGTATACTGGGCCTTGAAGTACCTAACTACGTATACTGTGCCTTGAAGTACCTAACTACGTATACTGGGCCTTGAAGTACCTAAATGGGTATACTGGGCCTTGAAGTACCTAACTGCGTATACTGGGCCTGGAAGTACCTAACTACGTATACTGTGCCTTGAAGTACCTAACTACGTATACTGGGCCTTGAAGTACCTAACTACGTATACTGGGCCTTGAAGTACTTAACTACGTATACTGGGCCTTGAAGTACCTAACTACGTATACTGTGCCTTGAAGTACCTAACTACGTATACTGGGCCTTGAAGTACCTAACTACGTATACTGTGCCTTGAAGTACCTAACTACGTATACTGTGCCTTGAAGTACCTAACTACGTATACTGTGCCTTGAAGTACCTAACTACGTATACTGGGCCTTGAAGTACCTAACTACGTATACTGGGCCTTGAAGTACCTAACTACGTATACTGGGCCTTGAAGTACCTAAATGCGTATACTGGGCCTTGAAGTACCTAACTACGTATACTGTGCCTTGAAGTACCTAACTACGTATACTGGGCCTTGAAGTACCTAACTACGTATACTGGGCCTTGAAGTACCTAACTACGTATACTGGGCCTTGAAATACCTACTGCAGTAGTTAGTAAATATAACACAAAATATTAAGCTGTTACGGAATGAGATGTTTTTGATTCTGCAATTTAATTGCCTTTACACCTACGATAACTTAACACTGGATCGTAAGAGCATATATTCCAGGTGTACCTCTCAGATATAACAATAATAATAATAATAATAATAATAATAATAATAATAATATAATAATAATAATAATAATAATAATAATAATAATTATTATTATTATTATTATATTATTATTATTATTATTATTATTATTATTATTATTATTATTATTATTATTATATCATTATTTTTACAAGTACAAGTACAACGTATACAGTCCTAGCTGACATCAACAACATACTACTATATAGAAAGCCCCTTGTTATGCTGAGCATTTCGGGCAAATTTAGTCAGTTTTGTCCCAGGATGCGACCCACACCAATCGACTAACACCCAGGTGCTTATTTTACTGATGGGTGAACATAGACAATCGGTGTAAAGAATCACGCCCATTGTTTCCACCCCTTCGCCGGGAATCGAAGCCACCTTTCAAGGCAGGTGAAATTGCTGTCCTAGAAAATGTACAGAGAACCTTCACGGCACACATAATGGAGATAAAACACCTCAATTACTGGGAGCGCTTGAAGTTCCTGAACCTGTACTCCCTGGAACGCAGGCGGGAGAGACACATGATTATATACACCTGGAAAATCCTAGAGGGACTAGTACCGAACTTGCACACGAAAATCACTCACAATGAAAGCAAAAGACTCGGCAGACGATACAACATCCCCCCAATGAAAAGCAGGGGTGTCACTAGCACGTTAAGAGACCATACAATAAGTGTCAGGGGCCCGAGACTGTTCAACTGCCTCCCAGCATACATAAGGGGGATTACCAATAGACTCCTGGCTGTCTTCAAGCAGGTACTGGACAAGCACCTAAAGTCGGTACCTGACCAGCCGGGCTGTGGCTCGTAAGTTGGATTGTCTGCAGCCAGCAGTAACAGCCTGGTTGATTAGGCTCTGATCCATCCTGAGGCCTGGTCAAAGACCGGGCCGCGGGGGCGTTGACCCCCGGAACTCTCTCCAGGTAAACTCAAGGTCGAGGACCTTCACCGTGTGAAGCGAGAGCTGTTGCCACCAAGCTACGGGGCACCGCGGCCTGGTGTATGACACAAATATATATATACATCTAGAGTTAATTTTACCTTTTATTCTAGGGATTAAATTACAGTTGCTGGTTGGGAACTATTAAAAGTGTGGTTGTAAATTTAACAGAAGTTTCACGATCAGGTTTACAAGCAGATAAGTTTACATTACTTGTGTACATACAGAGTTTACTTAACGTGTAGCTGTAAACAAGACAGAATTGAAAAATATTTAATTGATTGACTAATGTATTATAATTATATTTATGTGGAAGTCCTGAACCAGTAAGAGTTATACAACACCTGGGAACTGAGAGGCTATCAGGTTTAATCCAAGGAGCATGATAACTCACATATCTCGGATCAAAAGCCCTTCCTCATCTGATATATTAACTGACCCTCCTCTGAAGAGCCAATTACTATACCGCTAGAGATATTACCGGTTAAATTATATTCCATTACTGCATCATGATACAGTAGAGTGGCTTGAAACCTAACAAACCAGCTAGATATGTTGTAAACACCGCAACATTTGATTGTTCATTCTTTTTATATTCGTAAGATATCACCACACGTTCTCCAGAAAATGTAATCTACCCGGCAGCATCACATGATTAGACAATCTTCACAAATACTTTTCTAACTTATCTCGTATCATATCACGTAATCAACTTAACGTTAAGCAACAAATGGCTACGTGAAAGTATATATGATTAAATGAAAGAAATTATACAGAGTGTGTATGAGCACGTCACGTAAGGAAGAGAGTAATCTTGGGGCCTCTCAGATATATGGTTAGTGTTAAAGATATGAAGAGAAATCCATGTGTGAACAGCTCAAATGAATAATTATTCACAATATATATCATATATAATGTTGGTTTTCCGTAGCTCGATCGCTAGTGCACTCAGCTCACACACTGAGGTCTGGAGTTCGATTCCCCAGTACGGCTGGAGAACTTTAGGATGCGATTCCATAAGATGCCTGTGGTCCGTCTTCACCCATCAGTATTAATAGGTACCTGGGTGTTAGTCGACTGGTGTGGGTCGCATCCTGGGACAAAACTGACCTAATTTGCCCAAAATTGTTTGCATAAAAAGGGGC